TCTCTCTCTCTCTCTCTCTCTCTCTCTCTCTCTCTTTCTTTCTCTCTTTCTCTCTCTCTCTTTCTTTCTCTCGCTCTCTCTCTCTCTTTCTTTCTCTCTCTCTCTCTCTCTCTCTCTCTCTCTCTCTCTGCCCGCATACAGAAACCCAGCCAAAGAAGATTCGGAAACCCCCTGGCCTGCCGTCCTCGGTGAGAGCTTATTTCTGCTTGCCTTCACAGCTCACAGTCCTTCCTCTCTCGCTCGCTCGCTCACTCTCTCTCTCTCACTACACGCTCTTGCTACATATAGACAGACGTACAGGCAGACACACACACACACATACATACTTGCTCTCCCCACTCTGCTTGAGCAGGTCTGTGACGGACAGGGGTAAAGACCCTCTGCTCAGCCAGACTCTCAGTGAGCTGACAGTCGGGCAACTCGGGCCCCAATAAACATCATCACTGTGGCTGTCTCTACACTACACTCAAGTGGTTTCAAGTGTTGTTCGGGGTCTGGTTGTCATGTAGACGAGCAATTTTATAGGATTTTGAGGTGCTTTGTCAAGTCTGGTAACTCACCTTCTTCAGTGGCCTGATTTGAATTATACGTTTTGTAAGAACACACAGGTCCTGGATTTGGGTAATGAAGGTACATGAGTTTCATGCAGCCAGTGCATGAAGGGTTCTAGTAGGTTGGGTTGTGGTGGCTGGTTCAATTTTGGATCCAGTTCAAAGTTTGTAATGAGACACTTGGACTTGTTAAAGCAATACATCACCCACAAAATGACCATTTGTATATCAAATACTCACACCGTGTAACCTTGAATTCTTGAGGAAAACATTGTTTTTCTCGCTCGCATCCACTGTGAACGGAGAGTCAAAAAACAGAAGGAAGTCTGAATGAAGTTAACGGAGGCCAGGTTTAACGACGGTTAAACTATAGCCATCCGTTTACAAACTCTCACACAACTCGTGCAGTACAACCCAAGTCCCATTTATCCAGTCGTATGCTCACTACTTCCCAAACACTAAAACCATAATATTTAAATTACTCAGGACGCACACAGACGAGTAGCGAGCCTCTGCAAGCATAAGACATGTGAAAGTGTTTTAAATGGTGCGCTTTAAGCGAAGATGCTTTATGTGAGAATTGTCAACAGACGTTTTGACACAGTAACTTTTCTCCTTTTCTTTATTCTTCATTCATCCTTTTGTGGACATTTGATAAAAATGTTTTTTCCAGAGTTAAAGGTAACACGGGGTGAATAAACGATATACGAATTATCATTTTGTGGGTGAAGGACAGTGTAGAAGCCATTTGGAAAGTTGTGCAGCTATTAAGCAAGTTTGTAATGGTTCCCCCGATGATTCACTTTGAATATCAGTTTTGGAGTTTTAGTTACGTAGTATTCGGTTATTCATAACTTGTTGCTTGAAATGGGAAACTTAAAGCTAAATAGATCCAGTTGGATTTCAATTTGAGAAGCGGATTTAATACTGGATTCAACCGTGTGCTTACGAACTCTAATCCTTGGTCAAAGCGCTCCGAAGTAACATACAGTGCTTTGATTTACTGTACCAAGTGTCACATTTTGTCAGTGGGCCCAGAATTCCCAGCAGCTGATGTGTGGATGATGGCAACCACACATAGCTGGAAACACAAGTCACCGTGACGTGTTTGAATATATCCTGAATGAATCTCACTGTTAGGTTGAAGCGGCTTGACGAAGAATTGAACCGGGCAGCAGTTGCACACATCATTCCCATTTATAGATTATTTCCACTAAGTCCTGTGTGCTGATTACCGACCGGTCCGTCCATACAGACTCAGCTGCTGTAGATTGCGGATGATCCAGACGCCATTTGCTCAATTTGAATACCACAAAGCATTTTCAACGCAACACTGACTTCTCTTAATATTTCCCTCTGCAGAAAGTTGTTCATGGTCCTGAACCAACTTTTGTTTTTTTTGTTTTTTTAAATGGCAAACATGATATGTAATGTCAGAAGAACCCTACTGGGTTGTTTGCTTGTCATGCTGCTATTAGAGTCCAGTCGTGCTGCTTGAGCTGCCACTGGATCATCAATATGAAATACTGCCATTGCACAAACATTTTTAGTCACCCAGGCCACACGCTACTGTAGTTCTCAGATGACAAGAGTGACCTGAAAGATTAACTGGATATGGAACCTTTGCATCTCTTCACTTGTGTCATCTGTGTTTTCAGCACGGTGCCTTGAATCAGTGAACCGGCAACACGAAGCGGAGGAGAGAGAGATTAAGACTAGTTATTTATAAATACTATGTTTAAAAAATACCTGCACGTTAACCCGGACTACAATTTCTTAATTCAATCAAAATTTGTGCAACATTCACAAGAAAACGTTAAATGAAGATTGACTCATGCCTATGCTGATGTTTTTTAAATGCATGGATGAAGTGAATTCAAAGGATTTATATGGCTGGCTGGCTAGGTCCAAATCACGGAGCCACGGATGCATAATCTGGCAGGAAATGAAGTCGAGCATTAACAGTGTTGCGTTCAGACTTCAGTCTTATTTTGAGACAAAGTTGCAGCAGATGCAACTGTAGCCGGCTGCATCGATGAGGTGGGTTCATGTCGGATCAGTATGGAGGTGGATCAGAGTTCGACCTGGTGGACACGCTGCTTTATCTGTTGTGCACTGAAGACATTAAAGAAATCTTTTTTTCTTCAGTGCTGTCCTCCACCTGTGGGTGTTGTCGCGTTAAAGTGGCGGCCGAAACCTCCACCGTGGTGACTAAACCACAGAGATTGAGTGCGAACACTCTGTCTGGCCGAGGCACCCCCCCTCTTTTTCACCATCTGAACCTCAGTCGTTCCCTGCAGTGTGAACGATGGCCGCGTGGTTTCGGTGCGAATGATGAGATGTCTGAGTGTGTGTGAACCCCCCCCTCCCCCACTTTGCCCGGCCCTCTGCCTACGCTTCACCACATGATGGCCTGGGTGGGCCTCCCCCTGTGAGTGACCCAGTTGTGAGGAGCGGTGCTTGCGAGGCCTCTTAGCCCCGTGTCTGAGCCCAGATTAATGACTGCCGATGATGATCCTGTGGTCTTTCGTCCCTCCCACACTCCCTCCCTCCCTGCTTCTCTTCACCACCCCGTCAACATGCTCTTTAGTTTTTCTTTATCTACTTTTGTTACTTAAATCATGTTGCCATAAATCAGCAAATGGATAATAGCTGAACTGTAAAGGCGATTTGTCATTTCCCCCCAAGCTCCTTTACTTCTGTAACTCACCAATACCTGTGCACAGGAGCGTTGCCCTAACCCCGTGAACCTTCACCTCCTCTCATCTGCACCGATCAAACAACACGGAGGAACTTCTCTTCTGCCCCCTAGTTGTCCAATAGACTAATCACAAAACCCTTGTGGTCGAATAAAGGGCTTTTAGGTTAGTTTGATGTTAATCTTCATCTACTCCCAACCCCTTGCCACAAACCTTTACACGGTCGTAACCTGAATTACATTAAACCCCTATTAGTTGAGGATTTTACCCTAGAAATCCCCTTTCTTCCTGAGAATACAATTATCCAGCAGCACCAGTCATTGTGTAGTTCTCTGTTCCCATCTAGAGCAGCAGGATTCACTCGACATTGTTCCCCGTGAAAGAACAACTCAAAGCCTATTGTTAAATGAAGCCATCTCCGTCATGTTTTCCCCTGAATTAACCGTGATCATTTTAAATCCCCTGTTTCCTTCACACTCCCCTGGCCATATCAAGCTTTGTTTAAGTCATTTAGATTACCTTCTCCTGTCCCCCTTTAACACCCCTTATCTCTCTACCCATTTCATAAATCATCAGGGCCTTCATTTTTTTCCCTTCAATCCTCCCCCTTGCCCCTTTACCACCCCCTACCCACTGCACTCTCTCCCTCTCTTTCTGTCTCTCTCTCTCTCTCTCTCTCTCTCTCTCTCACTGACTGGATCCCAGCCCCCATCTCTCTCCCTCTCTTCGCTCCCTCTCCTCAGCCCAGCTGCCTGTGGAGTTGGATGTGGTCCAGGAACAGGCAGATGGCTCTGTAATTAGAAGTGCATCTCTCCATTCCCTTTCCACTTCTCCCTGTTAAATCAAATTACAGAAAAAATCCCTTCTCTGGATTAGCATTCTTTGCAGCCTAGCCTCCATTCTCTTTCTCTCTTCCTCGATTTGCCATGTTACTACAGAGGAGGAGAGGAAAAGACGAACTGAGTGCTGGCTGATGGTGTTTGGGGAAACTGAGGGCTTCTCATGTCCATCTTGGAGCCCAGAGATGTGTCACTTAAGGCCCAGCCTCCATGTTTGTTAGCAATATGTAGAAAGGGTGTGCGATTGGACCCTTTTTAAGATGCTATTATAAAAAACGTCATAGCTGTCAATTTTCATGTTTTCTGGAATCCAATCCTCTTGTTGATGCCATGTAGAACGTGATAGTGCTGGTTTGAGGGTATTGCTGGTGGAGAGAGAGTGTTGGCTCGCTGAAGGCATGGTATGTGTGCAGGCTGATACAGAGTGTGTTACAGGGAGGGGCTGCAGGCTAGGCAGGGCGATGTCACTGGGGTCCTGGGAGCAAGAGGAAGTGCTCACTGTGCACTGGGATTCAAGCCGTCGCTGTGCCCAGCATGGCATGGCCGCTGTGTTCTCCTCCACAGGCGAGGAGCCGGCCTGCCTCCACTGCCGGCAGACTCCCTCTTGCCATCTTGTGGCCACTTGAAGCTATTGGAAAGCAAGCACGGATAGATGGATCGATTCCATATCACTTTTATCTCTCGTGATACTCGGGGATACAAATTGAGAATACTTATCTTTTAAAAAAAGAATCATAAAATGTCCATGTTTAAGTGTGTAGTCGTCTAGGAATCACAGTCTAACTGCTGACTGTTTGTTTGTTTAGGTGTATGCTTCCACATCTGGTGATGAGTATGCAAGAGACAACGGAGGATACCCTGGTGCTAAGCCTGGAGCTGTCTACCCTTTCTATATGCAAGGTAACCTTTCACATAATATCCCTGGAATGAATTTGTTCTGTTGGCCTGCTTTTTTTTTTTTTAAAGGTGTTTTCATATTTTCAAATATGTCTGTGCTTCTCTCAGAAGACCCCTGGTCGTCCTCTGGCTACTCTGCCATGCTGGGTAACTCTCCTCACATTGGACAGCCGGGCTCCTTCTCTGCAATTAACCCACAGGACAGGATGGTGCGTAGAAATGGCATCAATCTCAATCAATATTTTTCTTTTTTGTTGTCGTTTATAATGGCTCATATCTTCTGATGTTGCTTGTAAGGATATTATGTGGTGAACTTGAATGGCCTAGCTTTTCATTGAGAGGAAACATTTTAGCATCTGTTCTTCAGAAGTTCCTTTTCTATTAATAAAACCACATATCATGTGAGATGCATGAATTAATGTGTTAACATTTAAGGTACGATATAAGATTGAGTGGTTAATAATAATCAATAAATTAATCTTCCTTCGTGAAGCATTTCTCACATATTGTTTAGTTTTCTGTGAGGGGTTTGTGCCTTATGGAGCTACTTGTATTCCCTTTCCAGAAGCGTCAACCCCTGCCTCTGTCCCCACAGAACTATCCTCTGCACGGCAGCGAAGTCAACGGCTTCCACTCAGCCCCCACCACCTACAACCACACTCCCGCCATCAACGGAGAAGGCATCATGGGTACGAAGCTTTTAAAAAATGAAGTTATCGCACAAGTATCTTGGAAAGCGTCTGTCCCGTGGCCATTTGATTTATTTATTTATTTTCTTCTCAAAAACAAATAATCGGGTTATCTGACTTTGTGATTTCTTTTGTCTCGGCAGCAAACCGAGGCACCACAGCTGGCAGTTCAGGAGATGAAATTGGGAAGGCTCTTGCCTCAGTGAGTTATTTTTTGTTTATTTGGTTTTTCAAATTAGTGCTGGGCAATGAAACTAATACAGTCATTTCGTTTTATTTCCTCTCAAGTGAAAATCTGTGATGTTGGGGTGATGTTGCGTAAATAAATGCTAATTTTAAAAAGAAAGATGATGCTTAAAAAAAAAAAGTTCCGTCCGCGGTTTAGCATTATTTTGGTTGTTGAATGAATTTCCATTGTAAAATATGCCGAAGACACAACTTAATAACGACAAAACGGTGGAATTCAAGGATCTAATAATTGTATTCTGAGATTTTAATTTTAATTTTTAAAGTGTGCAAGAAATTCTCAAGTCAAATTTTATTCAACAAAGTAGTATTTGTCCTATTTTAAAATAGATTATTGGTTAAAAATAACCTGCTTAATGATTTCTTCTTTTATTTGCTGTAACTCTTTGATTCTTCCAGTTAACGTTTTCTGACGTGGCATTTGAGATAAATATTGTGTGATATGGAAACCATCGTATCATGGAGAAAAATCTATTGTGGTGACGCATTGCTCAGTTCACTATTGCAGTGAAAATCAATAATGTTGGGCTGTTTGATCAATTCTTTCAGATTTACCCGTCGGACCACAACAGTAATAACTTCTCCTCCGCTCCGTCTACTCCTGGATCTCCTCAGGCTATTGCAGGTACAGTTGGATTCTCACATATTGATCACATGAGTGTGAAATAATTAGTACTTGTATATGAGAAGACAACATCTTAAGGTTTTAATGTGTTATGGCGAGTCACTAAAAGGCATTTAATCTCCAATCACCACCGTAATGTGTCATGTATCAGATATGAAATCTGCATATTCATAAACGCATTATTTACCGTGTCTTTATTTTACCTGCATCATTTAAGTACCATCTCGCTTTGATGAAAGATTCATGTCGGCCTAACCGCTGATTAAATTGTGCCAATCAGAAGGTTGGTAAACTGCGATCAGGTGGTTTTATCCTGTGCTTTATCCTCACTCATGCAACCACAAATTTGGATGATATTTCAATTTCCGCCACAGAATATTGACATCAGTCCGATTGATTTAACTTGTTCAGTTTGATTGCAACCTTGTTTTTGGCACACAAAAAAGAATCACTTGAAATTGATGGATCAAAAATTATCCTCTGCATTTTTAATGATCTTCAGCATAGAAACGTGTCTGCAGCGCCATCTGCTGTAACGTTGACAATTACCTCTAAACACTATCCCAATATTTCTCTCTGCAGGAGCTCAGTCTCAGTGGCAAAGACCAACCACACCCAACTATGAAGGGCAAGCACACGCACTGGTATGTGAAAACGTTTCTCTGCTGCATCAAAGGGATTTTAAGCAAGAGCTTGTCTTGACGTATTCTCAGCCTTTTTATGCTTATTTCACCGTTAAGTACGAAGTATTGTTCAAAGACGTACTGTGCATTCGTAAGCCGTTTCCTGGAATTTGATTGTGCTTTGTCATTTTGATAAAGTGCGTGCTTGTTGTTTTTGAAAGCAGAGTAAAATGGAGGACCGTTTGGAGGAGGCCATCCATGTACTGCGTAGCCATGCTGTGGGTCAGGGTCTAGAGGGCGCCCCCGACATGCACAGCCTGCTGTCCGCTGTACACAACGGGGGCCTCGGAGGCCTCGGAGCCCTCTCTCCAGCTTTCCCAAATGCAAGCCTTGCCCTCAGCAACAGACATCCTGCTCTGGTGAGTCAAGCAGGATACAAACTAAAGTGTTCATCTGTTTTGTGGTTCATTTTACAACAAACATAATATCTGTCAACACTTCTGAAAACTCTGCAAGGAGTTTGTTTTCATGCTGAATTAATAGAGGTTGAAGTACATGGTCATTCCACCAGCCATTACTGAAGAAATGTTAGTATGGAGGTTAAAACAAACATTCTTCATGGCTTGCATGAACCATAACATGTGCAATACACTTTGATTTATTGATTGACAGTGTACCTTGATTTTATCTTGTATTTATATGTTGCATGCCAAGTTAGCTTTTTGAAGAAATCTGATTTCTGTTCTTATTAGCAAGAAAGAATTATGAAAATAGCATTAGTGAGTAGTGCATTTCCAGTAAAATGTCAAACATAGTATTATTTGTGCCTTCTGCTGGTAACAAATTGTAAAATTACAAGCAAATAGGAGTAAACTATGTTTATGCATCTTCTTTGGTGAGTTGGATAATATATAATGTAGGCAAACAACATGTAAAACATTTTGAATTAACTCCATAATTTAGTAAGTATTTGTTCTCACAGAGTTGAGCACATGTCAAGTTGTTTTATTGGTCTTTAACTTTGGACCAACGCAGTTTGCGGTGTGTTTTCTATGAGTGTCGTTGTGATTTGTCTGTCCCTGTGAGCTCCACCTCATGGTTCTCCACCTTCCTCAGCAGGGAGGGAAACACGAGGAGCCCACAGGCCTTCCTCCCAGCAGCACTCTTCTGCACGGTCATCACGCATCCGGACCCACACCACCAGTCGGCCAACCGGAAGGCTTCACCGGTAAGTGTGACTAGATATCTCGTTACTTACAGTAGAGCACATCGGTTGTTGTTTAGTGAAACTGCACAATAGAATATCTTTTTATTTAGCATCGCCACAGAACCAAATGTTTGATTTCAATACCCAGATACTCATTCATGATTCAACGAGTGTACGTGCACACTGATATGCAATTGAGAATTCTTCAGTGATCTCTGCTCAACTTAATTAGCTTTCTACGTTGATCCGTTGTATTACATCCCCTCCTTAGAGAGGTTACTTTGGAACATCCTAACATCTATGCGTTCGTCCCTAGGTCTCCCTGGTGGTTTGGCCCGCTCCACGCACTCCTCCAGCGGCTCAGACATCAAAAGGGAAGATAAAGAGGATGATGACGACAACTCATCTGTTGGAGACAAATCTGATGACGAGAAGACGGACTCCAAGGCAGCACGCCTTCGACGGTAAGGTGGTCCTTACTCTGTTTTCTAGGATTTGTTCTCTTGTCTGTGTTTTAACCAAAGACTTTATAAAACGCAATTGCCAAGTGTGAAAATATTAAGGAACCTGTTTGATATTGGAAATATCTGCTGCAAGTTTCCACACGTCTGCTGTTAAATGTGTCAGACGGTGTAATTAATCCTGTGTGCCCCGCCGATCGCCCAGACTCTGTTAAGCATTTAACAATGTTGAAATCCCCCTTCCCTTCATGTCACGTTTTCAGAAAGGAGGCGTTGACCCTCCAGATGCTCGCTAGCCTTTCAGACCAGAAAGACGAGTAAGTCTCTCCAATAGAGGGTCAATTTCTTGTGCTTTGTTGGCTCTTGTCACACATCAATTAAAGCACATGATTGGCAGAATCATTGTAATAATATCGGTATGACATTCTGAAATGTATTATACGTCTCTGACTTTCAATATTTCTGTATTTATGCTGCGAATTTTGAAATGGAGATGTATTTTTTTTTTTTTTTTTTTTTAATGTATTGGGCAAAAAAAATATATAAAAACATTTACCCCTAACAAACATTACAATAGCAAACTACAGCTCATTATGCCTTCCCTTTTTTATTTTAAGTACGTAGTTTGTTGTTAAAACCTTTAAACACAGCAGACACACAGTGTAGTATACTAAGAACACATCCGACAGATATTTATGATCAAATGATCCAGAGGGAGATGCTGCTTCTTGGATGTTTTTCACTTTTATACAGTATGCATTCAACACACTTCCTATGTGTAGTGCGTCCATTCAGCACAAAGCTCAACTGTGTGTGTACAGTCCCTGCTCTTCATGCTAAACTGTCCGGGTTAGAGTCCCTCGTCGAGACGGGGTTGGAGTCCCTCGTCGAGACGGGGTTGGAGTCCCTCGTCGAGACGGGGTTAGAGTCCCGCGTCTAGACGGGATTAGAGTCCTGCGTCCAATTGTCTGGGTTAGAGTCCCGAGGCGGGGTTGGAGTCCCACGCTAAATAAGACCTCAGGGAGGCCGGGTTAGAGTGTTTCAATGTATGTTCTTAATTGTTTTTTAAATCTCTTTTGCCTTATGTTTTGATGCTTTTAATGGTTTTATGTGAAGCACTTTGAATTACCTTTTTGTTGAAATGTGCTATACAAATAAACTTGCCTTGCCTAAACTTAAAGTAGCTGAATGCTATTCACACGGTCACATGAACACACTGTTTGATTGTTTGTGTCTTGAAATGTCTTTCTGCCCGTGGCTTCATTATTTGATCTCTTATCTGTAAGTAGTCTAGATGATGAGGAAGATGACGAGGACCTTCCCCCTGAGGTGAAGTTGGAACGCGAGAAGGAACGGCGAGTGGCTAACAATGCCCGCGAGCGTCTCAGAGTACGGGACATCAACGAGGCATTTAAGGAGCTTGGGAAGATGTGCCAGCTGCACCTAAGCCACGACAAACCTCAGACCAAACTTCTCATCCTGCACCAAGCTGTCAATGTCATCCTTAATTTAGAGCAGCAAGTCAGAGGTCAGTCTGCCAGCAGCACATCGTGTATGGGAAGCCCGGTTATGTTTACCTCTGTTAAATACACCGTTACTCTTTTATACTGAGAGGGCCTGTTTCTGTTTTCCCTTCCTCTTGTCAGAGCGTAACCTTAACCCCAAGGCAGCATGTTTAAAACGCCGTGAGGAGGAGAAGGTGTCTGGGGTGGTGGGTGAAGCAGCCATGCAGCTCTCAGGAGGCCATCCTAGTATGGGAGGAGATGGCCACAACCCAATTGGCCACATGTAACACCAGGTAGGCCTTAAAAATTGGCTACAGAAGTGATTATTAGGATGTAACCCTGAGTATTTTATAGGTATTTGTTTTACCCACAGTTACTTAATTAAAAGTTAAAATCCTTAATATGTGGTTACAGGTGGTAATTGCAAGGGAGATTCATTACTACAAGTCCCAGAATTCTTGGGGAATCAAACATTCCTTCACCAGCAAAATAAAACCAGAGTAGCCAAACAAACTGACACGGTTGTAGTAATAAATAAAAAAAGGTCAATAATTAGTCTTTTTCCATCCTACCATAAGCAATGGCAGCCTAGTGTAATGATGCACATGTACTTCTCCACATAACAGCAGGACACAGTTAAAGTTGGATACCTTGATGAAGTAGTATGCGGCCTGTCGCCTGCAGCTCTTCATCGCTGTGGCTGCTCCTTTTGCTCTTATTACCTCCTGCAATATTTAAAAACTAAGCCGCTGACGCAAAATACCGAAATGGCCATTATAAACACCTGTGGAGGCTTCAGATTTAAAGCCAGTTGAATACTTTTTAATGTTCAGCAGCAGGTGTAGAACATGTTTGGTTTGCAAAAGCAGGAATTCCCCTTGAATCCCTCATGTGAGTGAAGTCTGAATCAGCAACAAACCGTGAAAATGGAATTACTAAATGTAAATACTGAAGGACCATGAATCAAAAACGGGGTTTGATTTTTGGAAGATTTTAAGGATTATAACTTAAACAATGAATTGCATTAGCACGTAGGAGTCAGTGGGCTCAGTATAATCCTCACTATTTTGTTGCTTTCGTTATAGTACAGGATTACTACAACATAATGTTTGTGGTCCTTCCTTTTTGCAGATCTGGTGGTGTTTCCTCGGCTGTCAGAGGATGTGGCCTTAACAGATTTCTTCCACCCATTATTCTCCAGTGTGTGTGTGTATATATGTGGACATGTCTGTGTATTGTCCGTTCAAGTTTCAAGATGCACATTCACACACTCGTACACACATGCATACTGCCAAAACTGACACAGCCTGTTTGTCGCACTCCCAACCATGACTACAAGCTCAAATGTGAAGAACTTTTTTTAGTTTTGCTTTGTTTTATACATGTAAAAAAAAAAAAAAAAATCTTCTTCTTGGGTTTCCACAAGACGATGGAACACCGGAGTACTTTTTTGTCCTGCCACAAATTGGGACTTCACACACTGCCGAGAGGTGCTCTTGTGAAAGAGAGGAGACCTAAACAAACACAAATTGAATCAAGGATTTGTGCCTAATTGTTACATGTTTTCTATTTGACATTTAAGCAAATTGCTTTACATGTGAGGAACATTTATTGTGAGGGATTGCTTATGTGTATGAGCAGTTACTTTTAATGTATGTCATTCCCAGCGTGATGGTACAGTCTTACATATGTTATGTAACCAAGCCCATAGTTGAAGTTGAATTGTCTAAATTCGGTGACTTTTCCTCGCTCTTATCAGTAAATGTTTAGGGAAGGCAGAAAGGTCAAAGGTCTCGACAGTTCAAAAGCAGCTCATGAAAGACGTGAACTCTGACCTAGAGGCAGTCTCTGACTCGAGCCCGGTCTCGTCCCACAAGGCGGCTGGAGACTTGGAATAGAAGACTCCTTCCTTGAAAGTTATGAATTATCCAAGTGGTAGAGTCTGTCAACTACAAACCCGTTCTTCCTATTTGTTGACTACAAATTCTAGTGTTACTCCAGTAATCCCTTGTCACATGTTCAGGTTTTTGTACTGCTTTACGTACTAAAGCATACTTGGACGAGGTAAAGCACAGTTGTACAGGTTTAGACGGAAGGTTAGGTGTCGACCTGTTGTGCATTTCAGTCCCCGGAAGTCGTGTATTAAAGCCATTTGAGATGCTTGCTAAGTGATCAGCACCACTTAGTGCTCTTACTTACCTAAAATGGTTTACTGACAATGCCAGCAGACTTAACAGCTCAATTCTCTTTCCCCTTAAACGACGTTCTGTAAAAGACGACAAAAAAATCTGGGTCCCTTTTTGAAGAAGGGATCTCATCAGTCCGCATTTGTTTGAAGCAGACAAGCCTTCGTTTAACGGAGGCTTTCTTTTCCTAAATGAGCATTCCCACTGATTTACAGCCCCTCACCTTCCTCCTGAGTACGCTTGTCCTCACGTTTCTTACCGAGAGAAGTGTGACGTGTAAATTCACTTCATACATTGCTCTGATATGTTTCATTTTTCAAAATTAAATATATATAAAAATATATATTTTTTGTTAGTCTATACATTGTAGATTTTTTACATAAATGGCAATATTAGTTTGAAGTTTAGAGTGTATTGTAGATGAGCTGAAAAAGGGGATATTTGACATTTAAATGAAATTGTTCAAAAAAAAAAAAAAACAATTCTAAATTGAACCGGGATGGCAGAGGAAAAGGGTCAACGGATGATAAATGAAAAAGCGTTTGGTGTAACCTTTATTCCAGTATTAGTTGTAAAGCGCATCATCAGCTACCCAGATGAATTTTTTTCTTTTGGGGGTTTGTGGGCAGAGTTTGTGCCACGGTCCTGTTGAAGTTTTCTTAAGCAGTGAGGCACTGAGGAAAAATGTGGGAAGATTTTTGTCTCTAACAGTAATTATGCAACTGGTTTTTGAATGTAGCTACCATACAAATGTGGATCACCTTCATTTTCAAAGTCTTGGGCTTTGTCAGTACCGTATACAAGTTTTCATTTCACCTTTTTTTTTTTTCTCTCTAATGTTTGCCCTCAACCAAGTGGCTCTCAGTGTGCAGCTCGCTTTATAGCAGCCTGCACATTTATTTGTGGAGGCAGACGTCCGTATTTGGGTGTAAGGTAATGGATAATATGGAGAACAAAACAGTGTTATTGTGACGTTATTCCCATGTCATGTCATGTCATGTTGTGAATGGTTTTTACCAACATGTAATCACAAATGGGAGGTAGAGCATTTTTGTGTGTTTAATTTCTACAAAAAGAGATGAAGAAAAAGACCTATACAAATCAATAGTGTGGCCTTTTCATTCTCAAGACTTAAGATGACATGATGGGAGAGTGATACCTTATCAGTGCCTGAACTTGTATTTTCATTTAAGACAGTTTTATTTTGTGAACCATATCATTTCATTTATCATGGAGATTAAAGAGGTACTTGTTCATTCCCCCACCCTCCCTTCTCCTAATGCTTTTTTCAATTTTCAGGAAGAAGTTTAAATGGTATAAAGAGATTTTTCTTTCAGTGTATCTAGTTAAATAAATAAATGTTACGTAGATCTTGTTTAGTTTTTATTCCCCCTTTTTTCTAATTATTCAACTGGATTATATTGTCCAAACTGCTGTTTGAGTTAAGGTCATGGGTCCAGGTCATGAGTTTTCTTTCTATCTGCCCTATATTGCTCCATCGCTTGACATTACAGGGTTCAAGAGATGCTGCTTTTGGCTCTGATTGTCTGTTTTTGATGCACATTAACATGTTTCAGTGTGTGTGTTGCTTCAATTTCAATGTAGGGAGTGAGATTTATTTTCCGTCGTAGCTGGAACCTCTAATGACTTGGAGCATTTTCAATTTCTGTATATCAGAGTGCAAGCCCTTTGCTGCAGTGACTTTCAGTATATTTAGTCTCCAGTGACTATTTTCACCTCTTCCAGCTCTTTGATGCCGTTGACAGTGACTTTTTTTGAGAAGTTCTAATCACTTCTTTCAAAAAGTTGTATTTGAAGTTTTTTCTTTTTATTATTTCAAGATCAATTATTGTACTGAATATTGCCGATTTGTTTCAATGGGGAAATCTGACTTGATGTCATTTAGTATTCTGTGAGCATCCCATTAGCCTACAAGCAACATACTCAAATTCTTTGTTTGGGGGAACCTTATTTCTTAAAACAAGTCTTGACATAGACACAGTTTGAAATCTGCAGAAAAGCAAGCCGACCACTGCAGGAGCACATGACGTCAACAGAAAATTACAAAAAATGTTAAGTTGACGGGCTTGAACTTGTTTTGGTATAAGAAAGCAGTAATAAAACACTTGCTTTCAACAGTTTTGTCATATCTTTGTTGAACTAAAAAGGGGGAGACTTGAGTGTTAATACATTCACAGGTACAGAGCCTGACATCTTGGGAGTGAGGACACTGTTGACTCCTGCAGGGTCCTCAGTGTCTCACTCAATATCTCTCTCTCTCTTTTTTTATATATATAAATATATATAGTTGAGAACTGTCCTGTATATAACAGTAATGTAGCAATAAATGTGCCATTTTTAATAACAGATTATACCTTTTCCAATGTCTGGCTTTTGAATATTGTATACATAAAAAGGAAAATAAAGGAAAACATTGTAATAAAGGGTTTATTGTAGTTCGGAAAATGAATTTGTTCATATTTGCCTTTGTCAATAGCCTTTTGGGGATCACAAATGCGTTTATGATTCATGATTACGCAACCAAGGCACCACATTAAATTCAAGACATGATTAAAACCAGTTGATTTCTCAAAGTCAACACGCACAATACTGCAATATTGCTTCTAGCTACATGGTTGCCCAACACAGAGCACAGTCCTGAAAACAACTCTGTTGTAAACGGAGACCTTTGAAGTGGTGGCCTGAAATGAACCGTAGCTGCACGTAGCCAGTTTATTTTTAACAGGCATAAAAAAGGCAGCTCAGGGGTCCTTCACGGGCATCGGCGCGAGAAAACATTGCAACGAGTAAAGAACTACAACTGAGAGAAGGTCAGGATGGTGCAAAAAATACTTAATAAACTCGTCGGTGCCAAGTACATAACTATTCTAAGAACGTGGTAAGTTAAACCATCAACAAAGGTGGAGTACTGTTTTAGAAAAAATGTTTTGTAGTGCTTCCATCATGTTAAAAATACTACAACGGTTGTGTCCTTCTTGGTGACCCGCTTAGCTTAGCCTGCTGTTATTTCCCACAGATTTAGCTAGCTGGGCTAGTTAGCATAATGCTACTATAACCAACGATGCTGAATTGTCTACTGTAATTGAACAGCTAACGGTAGGTTAGTTGTTAGTTTGTTTACACCGACACTATAAAGATTTGTATCATGTCTTATATATCAGAGATTTAATAGCTAGTTAACCATATCAAAGTTATTTTAATATTCAATATCTTTAAGTACTGAAGTGCTCATAGTCCTTTGCTAACATAGAAGCATCTCAGTTAATTCATGAACTATGTGACCAGTTTATTAGTCTGATAAACCTCTAAATGATGTAAAATCACAGTTAATATAATAGATGTCAATATGATAAAAGGAGATGCATGTTTTTACATAACATTATCTTCCTCAAATATGATAGCGTACGACTGACCACTCATGAGAGTTAACTAAACTTGACAGCTGTTTGTTTTTCCACAAACAGTGAGTACAGCACTATAGCTGACCTTGCAAAGTGCACACAGAAAAACTCAGATGCGACTGTTGAACAGTAATTTGTAAAGATCATTATTGAACGTGTACTAATCGATCATCAAAACGTTTTAATCTATTATTTGACCCTTTGTGTAAACCGGAATATCGCTTTTGCCTATGCACAATAGTTAATTTGGTTCCTATTGTCAGTTACCATAAAGGTATTATTTATACTATCAATAATATTTATGATCTTGTGAAAATAGCACATTTACTAGGATAGAAAAATCTTTATTTTAAGTTTAGTAGCCATTTGTGAATCACAACCACCATTTTTGTGTCACTTTGTGCATTGACTTGGGGAAGTGTGCATGTTGAAACTTAAAAACATTATTCTGACAATGGTTGTAAGCGCCATTTTCTTTTCCATTTAGGGTACCAAATATGGTGGCCTGGGGAACAGTTGGTGGAGTGGCGCTCATTCACTTCACAGACTGGCGATTGGTTCTGGACTATGTGCCGTACATTAAAGGGAAGTTTAGCGACGATGAGTAAATTCCCACACAATGAAATTGTGAGTGTATTATTATTATAATCAACACCCGTTTAACTGAGCTTTTGTCCACATACTTTGTTTGCCATGTTCAGTTGGATTGCTCATCAGCTTTAGCCACACCCACGTACTCCTGATAAGATCAGGCAGGTGTAACATGCCAGGTGTTGGAACTGAACATTCAAATTAAAACACTCTTTTGAGTATTGGCTAAAGTTGCTGTGGCCACTCTTATTCTAAAACACCTGTAGCGCTCACTAACTAAAGTTTACTCCAGGCTGAGAATAAAGGCCGGAGAGTTCTTGTTGCTCTTGTGAGCTTGTTAGATGACAACAAAACAGCTTTATGCTTCTGAGTAATCTTAAAGCTTTGCAAAAGGGTCAGACTAGTTTTAAAAAAGAAACAGCCAGTTTATGACAAAATAAAAGTTTAGAAAAAGTATGCATTCAGCACAGCTGGCCTGACAGATTTCATTTTGAATATGAATTGTTAAATTGTATTGTTGGGGTGTAGTGGTTAGGGCTTGACTATTTTTAAATGATCAATTTGTTTACTCAGTTCATGATTATAATACATTATAATACTTTGTTTTGCAACCTAAACCCCAGACATTATCCATCATATCCACTGTAACACCACACTGTAGACATTATGTTGATTTTTCCTAAGCCCTATTAAAGTTTTTACACCTTTCACCTACTTGGATGTGGTTTTGTCAGAAATCCAACCTCAGAGGCAGACAAGATTTGTGTTTTTTTTTTTTTTCTTTACACATTCAAACAGATGTGTTGATGTACATTTTGCTAACAAATGGGCTGTGTGTCTTGCCTACAGGACCAGAGCTTGGGAATGGGTGCACGGGTGGATTGCTTACACAACGCAAGCTTAAGTAGGATGCCCTCGCTCAACAATCAGTCGCTGAGGGCTTGTTAGGAGTTTGGACGAAGAAATGCACTCTGTATAAATGCTGCTTTTGATCCAGTGTTATTTAATGTGAATAAATCTTTAATTGTCCCCCAATGTGTCAAGTTATTCTGCAAAATGTCATCTATTGAAATGTTTTGTTTCAATTGCTTGATGTTGAGAGTATTTTTCTATTTGGTTTTTAGTGCTAAAAAAAGAAAGATTATACTTTAATTTTCTTTTGCATGGAGCAGTTGTAAAAGCGTGGCTTTGCACACATGATATTTGCCAACTGGTCTCTACTATTTGTACTGTAAAAGTAGTGTGAAATAAAAATGTTTTTACCGACATTGTATATGTAAAGTGTTGTGATAATATAATTCCGTATTCATGCGGACTCACACGAATTCACCGAGTTGTTATGGGCCCAATTGCACGCTGAGAATACGCCAGGTTCGCCCCAGACACGATACTCATTTTATCGGCCAGACTGCGAAATTTGCGTGGATAATGTCTTTCATTTCTCCCATCGAAGGGGGAGGGGACTGAAAGAGGAGAGGGGAGAGAAGGGATTTAACATAGCGAGAGGGAGAAAACGATAGTGTCTTCAAGATGGATAAAAACGAGTAAGTACATCATCTGAAGGGCAATGAAACCCACAACAACTGTATTAATTGTTATTGTAGCGTTTTTTTACGCTGTATGTCGTTCTCGTAATATATTTGAAAGTATGTTTATCATCGATACGCCAGATGACCTCAGTGGTCTCGCATTTGGAAATAGAAATGCTGTGGTCTTAAGCTAGGATGTCGGTCATTGTACTATGATTAAACTGTCCTGATATTTGCAGCTAATGTTGAAATGAACCACGGAGTCGGTACGCTGCGTCGACTAATGTCGAGATACGATTTTAATCTCACAAAGAGAATCACATTTTGTTTTCTTCTCTGCATCGTTACATGCACAAAGCCTCCATAGATGCATGATATGCTTTTAAAATGGTGTCTGCGTTTAATCGTCAAGATCGACTTTGTTCATTCATAAAAGCCGGCTTCAAGTCTGAATGACAACGGTAGACATTGTCGTGGTGAAAAGGGCTTCTCCTATTTCACGTAGCTAACATGAAACTTTCATTTTCAGTTACTGAGAAAGCTACAAGTGAAGGACGCTATTTTGTTATATATCTAGTCGATGTTATTATTCAGCGGCGTCCATCATTGTTTTCACTGTGTATCTACATGATTACTGTTTACGGTCTATTTGTAGCAGTAGCTTAATTTTTGTTTCCCATAGGTTAACTGGTGTAGCTGGCTACCACCAGCAAGCTAGAAAATAACACTTCCGGTAAAACATTTCGAAATAAAAGACTAACGGTCAAAAACGTATTTTGATAGATCCGGTTCTTGGAATGGTTAAATAAAAAAAAATTTTTACTCAAGTAACAAAATTAGAACTATATTCAAAGACATGCTTGAATATTTGAAATAAATATGGAGTGAGACAAAATTCTGAAAGTGCACCTTAAGTAAAAGTTTATTTTGTCAAAATATTTCCCCCATTGGTCAATAATGAAGTTACATCATCACACACATTCAATGAATTCATGTAGAATACAGTGCAGTTTTTAACTATTCACTTTTCGAAAATATTTTATTTTGTATAGTAGTTGCTGGACACTAATGTGTTATATTCCCTTAATCTAATGAGGCAATTCACATTTAGATTGAGAAAATACAGTACTAAGAAACAATAACATAATGTAGAAAAAATGATTTAATCTGGACTTCTTTGAATACACTTTTAAAACTCATTTTCTGAATTGAATATAACGTTTAGGGCTTAACTGGGGCTTTTTGAGACTTAACATCAAACCGGGTAAAGTTATATCGCTCTCACTGTCGGTAAATTTATTCCGTGACACAGTCGCGCTAACTTCCTGTCTCGTCCCGAACCTTGACGCAGCCGCGTCGTCCTCTGTTTTCCTTGCGGATGTAGCCCTCGTGCCCCCGGCCTAGACAGGCAGGTAGTGATGTGGCCGCGGTTCTACGGCGGAGTGATCTGCGCGACGACAAAGAGACGATACGTTGTTAGCAGGGAGATCCCATTACAGAGGAAGCATGTTGTAATATGGTCGAAACAAAAGCGTAAGAAGCGATAGGCCAAAAAAAAAATAATAATCCTGAAATCTAATCTGTTTATGCGCAGTAACTTTTTAGTGGATTTATAGGCTACTCGCGTGGGAAATGGAGAAGAAAAGGTGGGATTGCACTGCTCTCCCCAAGGGCTGGAAAATGGAAGAAGTGACCAGAAAGTCGGGTTTGTCAGCTGGAAAAAGCGATGTCTATTATTTTAGGTACTAAACGAACCGAGGGCTTGCAAAACTTACAGGTGCACAAGACACTTAGTTTGCGGACGGAAACAGACAGGGTTGTGATAAAGAGGGAGGGGGGCGGTATAAAGTTTGAGATGGGTATGGGAGGGGGGGTAACAAGGCTGGTAACAAGGCTGGTAACAAGGCCAGCTCCTCTCACAAGAGTTGAGATAAGAGTTTGTCCAACCGTGTGGGCTAGTAGCAGTAGCAGCTCACGCCTGGCGAGGCCTGTTTAATGAATCTAACTCAGTGTCATCTCAGTTAATACTCTTTCATTCCCCATTTGAAGTGAACCAACAAACGCCAGATTTTGTTTTCATTTAGCAGAGGAGAAGAGCATGATGAGGAACAGAGGCAAGAGAGGGGGGAGGCGGGTCGGTTGTATAGCTTGTGGTAGGCTAACCGTCCACTCATATACTGGTGTTTAACTGTGATGTAAGAACATTTGCATGAGTTTACTAGCACGTATCCACCCACAGTCGGCCCTTTTTGTTGGTCATCGCTCAGGCTTATAATAGTGTTTGCTCCCACAAGTGGAGCTACAAGTGTTAGTTTTTGCCATGTTGACATTGTGCTCACTGGTTCTTGGAGGTTCATTTGAATGCTTTATGAACAATGTTGTTGAATGTGTTTTTATATATATTGTCCTATCTGCTCTTCACACTATATTGTGTGCAGCTTGTAATAGATAACAAGGGTTAAGGTAGTCAGCAAAGATCCATTTCACACAGTAATGTGATTTTCAGTGCCGTTGCTCATTTGAATGTGCTCTGCTTCTGTTTGCATTTGACTTGTTGCATGTTGTGATACTTGTTTTGTACTTTTTCTGTGTTTTTGAAGTTTTTTTGTTTCCCTGCCATCATCTCTTGTCTTGGACATTTTTTTTTTTTTTTTTTTGTCTGTTTTTGTAAGAGATGATATGAGTAGAGTGGTTTCTTATGTCTTCTGCCTTCCCTGCCACAGTCCATCTGGGAAGAAGTTTCGGAGCAAGCCTCAGCTGGCCCGTTATCTTGGGAACCAGATGGACCTCAGCTCCTTCGATTTCCGCACGGGGAAGATGCTGATGAGCAAGCTGAACAAGAACCGCCAGAGACTGCGCTATGATAACAACAACCAGAATAAGGTGAGACAACCGGACACTGACGAACACAACTAATGGTGACCTGGACACAAAGTGTAGCAAGATGAAGCCTCAAGAGATCACTGCCAGTGAAACACCCTCGCATAAAGGTCATGTAGTCAAGTTTATTTATAAAGCACATTTCGTATGACAGGCGTAGACTCAATATGCTTCAAGATAACACAGCAAAAGATCATACATGACAAAAACCTATAAGATAAGAACATATGTGAGAACAACATTTTATATTACTTGTCAAGCTTTCACTAGTATAGACATGACATGTTTATTTACATTTGGCCATGTAGGTTAAATAAGACAGAAACTGCTCAACTGATGTTTTATTTCAACCACATCAGAGCTGGAGAGAAGAAATAGTATTAAACTAGCTTTTTCAAAAAAAAAAAAAAAATCTCGAAATAATCACTTTTTCTCATGGACCTGGAGTCTCAGATGAGTTAACTAGTTTGAACACTGACTTAGGGTTCGGCCTCTAAAAGCTGTATGAGATATGTGTCTTCTTGTGTGGTTGTAATCAACAGTTTTGTGGAAAAACGCATCACATTCTGTCTCTTTTACAATCTCCTGGCCACTCATCCTCCCTCGCGCTGTGTTTGATATGTTGAAGGGCAAACCTGACTTGAACACGTCGCTCCCCGTCAGACAGACGGCCTCCATCTTTAAGCAGCCTGTGACCAAGGTTACCAACCACCCAAACAACAAAGTGAAGACGGATCCTCAGAAAGCTGTCGACCAGCCCAGACAGGTGAACGGTCAACATCATCCCAAACGTATCGCAAACGCATGATAATCTCATGCAGAAGAAATGTGCTACTTTGAAAGTGGACAGACTTGAAGTTGAACACGTTGATGCATTTGTTTCACTCGAAGCAGCAGAATATTTTCATTTAAGTTTCAAAACTGCCTGCAGTTAATATTACTCTCTTTGTTTCTTTCTTTTTCTTGTCAACAGCTTTTTTGGGAGAAGAAACTCGGTGGTCTCAATGCTTATGACATTGCAGAGGAGCTGGTGAAAACAATGGAACTACCGAAAGGCCTGCAAGGTAATGTACACAATTTAGTCACCGATTCTTCAGACAAAATAAACAACAGGTTATTGTGGTATAAGGGACCGTTGTTGATTCGTACGGATCCCCCTTCGCGGTTCGGCACGCATCTGAACCGCATATAAATTACACAGTTTAACCATCGTGGTCTGAAATAAAGTTTTACTGACGATTGTTGTCGGTCGATATTCAGCAAAAATATGCGATCAGGAGATCGGCATTAATGCTTTCTGTTTGCCGATCCCTGATAATGTTACACTGTGAACATTAAACCTGTGTTGAAATTGACAGAAGAGCTTTTAACGATGGCAGCAGCGCTGTCATTCAGTTACATCGTGATGCGTTCAGGCTGAATTATAAGGTTACCATGATGCGTTCACTTGTAATCTCGTAAAATGTAGTTTTGGTGAAAAACTTAAATAAACATAGTTGGTTGAAGGAGATGTTTTCACAACAACATAAATAGATATTAGAGATGAATTATGACCTGTTTAAAATACTTCTAAGCAGCTACCTATTATTAAAACTACCTATGACGTGATTTTATTAATCAATAAAACTGCAATCTTTTATTTCCTAATCCTTTGAGTTGTGTGTTTTTATGAAGAACAAAAAACACTAGATGACTATAACAAAGGAGTAACAGTTGTGATGTTCCTTCCAAATGTCTTCTGCCACCCGTTTGCTCCTTCAGGTGTTGGTCCAGGCTGCTCAGACAAGACTCTCCTGTCGGCTATTGCGAGCGCTCTGCACACCAGCGCCGCTCCCATCACTGGCCAACTGTCTGCTGCTGTGGAGAAGAACCCAGGAGTCTGGCTCAACACTACACAGCCGCTGTGCAAGGCCTTCATCGTCACCGATGAGGACATCAGGTGATTGTTTTTTTTTTTTGTTTTTTTTTTCTCTTTTACAGTTTTAGATCCTGATAATTCATTGCTGGAGCCAATATCTTGTCAGATCCAACATGCTGTTCCTGTTTGTTGTTTGAACTTTTTTGCCTTTCTGGCTTTGAGCAAAATGTATCAGCATGTGTGGCAGTTGAAAAAAAGTTGTTACAAATCTTCCGATATCCTTCAGTGTGTTTAAAGATAAGAAATGACTACTCAGCCAGGGTGAATAATGGCATATGTTATACGATTTACCAGTTCATGAAATATTGGCTTCTATTTTAAATGCTGAAGCACAATAACAACTAGTCGCAAAGACATAATGGAGAAATCTTCCAAATTGGAATTGACCGTGAACATTTCTTTTTGACTTTTTGTCGTCTTTGATTTCCCCCAAAGTTGAGTCTGTTCAGCGGTCCATAACAAGTGACCCCCGCTCTTTTTAAACACACACCATCTGTTCTGTGCTGATTCACTGGCTGCGATAGGCAGCTGCAACTGCCAACTGTAACCGCTTCCTGTTGTGTTTGTGTGTAGGAAACAGGAGGAGCTGGTGTACAGCGTGAGGAAAAGGCTGGAGGAGGCTCTGATGGCGGACATGTTGGCTCACGTCGAGGAGGCCGCCGGCGAGGGAGAGGCTCTGAAAGACGAAGGCAACAGCAGTGAAGATATGGAGAGTGTATAGCACAGGTTGGTAAAGGGGCAATTTAGGCTCATGAGCAAATTATTTAGACGATAGACGATGTATGACCTTCTATCCCACCTGTGGCCCTCACAGAAAACCAAGCAACTCATGAAATTAATGTCGTTTAAAGGAAATTTGCAAACATTCGTAGCTTGCTGAATCTCAAAGGCATATCATGAGCTTTGGGTAATGTTTTATATTCAGGTCCTTGTAATAAGCGTTAGTTAATAGGTAATAACGCCCTTACACGATGCCCAATAACATTATACTGTGTTAATGAAACTAAGTGTTAATTGCAACATAAACACATTTATTGTTAGATTACAAGGCATTTATGAGCACTTACCCATAATCTATTTTATAAACCTTTTAATAAGCTTTTTTTGTTGATTTATTAAGATTAATACATACTTTATTATGCATTTATTACCAGTTGACAATGCTTTCTCCAAGAACAATGCCTTATTAAGGAACGGTAAATTGTAGATTGTTAAAGACAAAGTATATTACGATTGCACTATTTCATTTGTTGATGGGTTTCGTGATATTTTATATCACTTTTATCAGAATGTCTTATACAATGCGCAACTAACCTCATTGTTAAATGATGCTGTAATTGGACTAATTTAATATATATATATATATATATATATATAGAACGTTCTCATTTAGGCCGCATGTGACAGCCATTTCCTTATTAAACTAACAAAAAAAGCTTTTTAAAAACTTAAACAATGACATTATAAAAGTTAGTTAATCTGTTTGTAATGATATAAAGAATTATAAGGAACTAATAAAGCTTTTATTAAAGTTCTTAAGCAGTCTGTTAACAAGGTTGTTATAAGTGCTTAACAATACACATGTTTATGATGCTATTATTAACACTAAGTCTTTAGTGCCTCCCTTTAAACGCATAATGTTAATAAGCATCTTATAACTAAAGCTTATTACAAGGACCTTAACATAGAGTGTTGCAGGGTTGTGTACTTACTGCATGAATTATTACATAATAATGTATAAGATGCAACCGAGCTATTCAAAAACAAAATAGAGAATGTTTCTTCTAATTGCCAATCCTCTCCTCTTGTAGGGATTTGTTCAACGTCTGCACACACACACGACCATGAACAGTAGGAGCCACACAGCAGTCCTGCCCCGATGAACTGTCCCCGTGTATCTGCGTCCAACTTCACCCCAACTTACACCAGTCCAGTAGAGAGCTGTCTTCCCCTCGCTTGAACCCAAAACACTCGGGAGTCTCACATGCGTCTGTTCATCGTCGTTCACTGGACAGGACTCCTCAACAGCAATTAAATTAAAGCTCGGTGGACCTTCGACTAGGAGATTTTAAATATTTTCTTGAACTTTAAAATATTAAATAACTTATCTATAGTGTGTCAAAATTAGTGTTTGATGAAAAGAGTGTTTTTTACTGAAAGGCTTTGAATGGGTTTGTATTTTTCGTGTCAAATCCAAACATTTTATGTCGGCAAAAGTTAAATTGGGTGCTTTTTTTTTTTCTTTTGTTTTTGGGCAGATTGGAAATGAATGTTGTGTAATTTTGGCACGTCTCTGTCCTGAATTTTATGATGCACTACACGAGTTGTCTGACACAAAACACCGTCTTTTCTAGTGGAACCGTTTGAGATGTAACTATACCGAGTTGGGCTAATTTAAATCGGCATCGGGGCCAACCTGCATGCCGGCTGACGATATAGATGCAGACGGTGTAGTTCACCCACTGGGAGGGGACAGTCAAGTTTTTATTGTTGTAATTTCAATGAAATATTGTACTTCGTGACCGCTGTGTCGCCCTGTGAGTCGTGTCCAGTGTTGACCAAAGAGGAGACATGTCATTTGGAAGAGGGTTGTGTGACGTGCGTGTAACTAAAGTCTGCTTGGTATTTTACCGTAAGCGATTTATATCGGCGCTGCCGTCGTGCAACTCAACGTGAGGAAAGTAAAAAGTATGCGTTGATAGGGCTGGACGATGTGGAGAACATGGAATATCAAGATATTTGTGATGAAATACCTCAATGACGATATTGTAGGGTTGACCCTTGGTGCTTTTACTAAATATTTAAGCAAAGAGCTTTTTGATAAATAATCACCAGTAATGTGGATATATTGACTAAGTGGGTAAAGGCAAATAATAGAACGGCTACAACAGTCTGGCAATTCTGGAAAATTGCATGATTTGACTGTAATGCAGCCTTTAAAACCAGAAAAAGACAACACTTGTACCATATTACGATAAATAAATTCTAAGACGATATCTAGTCTTGTACCACAATATCAATGTATTGCCCTGCCCTATATGTTGGGGCTGAGCACAATGGGGGGAAAAAATGACCTGAAACCTCTTTCTATTGTAAAAGTATTGGGTTTAAACCTCAACGTCATCGTTTTAGGTGCTTTCTGATGTTGAAGCTGTTTCTGCTTTGTTTCTGTCACAGTTTCTATCCACGTTTTTCTGTTTTTGCGTGTTTTTTTTAATGTGTCAATGTTACAACACACAAGCTGCCTCCTCTTAAACCCACGCACAAAATTGGTGACGCCGCAAATTAGTTAACATTGAGTTTAGATGTAATTTATCATCTGAGGATTAATGCTTTTGTATTTTTTATCCCCGTCTGTCGAGGTGTGATGGTGAATCATGTACCCAGTTGAAATCATGAAAATCCCGTCTCTATATCAGCAGGCTGATTGCTGAAATGAATTTGATTGTGTTACATATTAAAATGAGTCCACATGTCATAAACTCTGCTGGTGTGTCTTTTTTTTCCCTTTTAAAACTACTGAAAATACTGTTTAGATACATTTGATCCTGCAAAAGTATGTCTTTGAGAGGCCACCCTGTTCACACTGTGCACATTCAAATGGAGAAACCCCTCCATCCAATCACTGCGTCCTCCCACAGATTAACAGTTAACTTGACAGTCCTCATGTGAGCCTGGACAAAGTGCAAAATACTGTCACCAGGACACAGCGGCTCTTCTGCGGAGGTGTCGAGGATACAGGCTGTTCCTTCAGAGGGACGTGTTGATGTGAACCCACTGTTGATTTTTTAATCATGTTGATCTGCATGCTTTAAGGTAGTTAAGATGACGTCACTGGAGCTGTACAGTAAGGTAAGACTGACTTGAATGTGTTTTTCTGTTTTTAATGGGATTATCATTCTCTCCTGCAGGAGCGGCTGTTTGGTCATAGAAAGAAGAGTAATTATTAAACTGTATTCTATATAATTAAGTATGAATTATGATGACATGTCTGGTATGGGTGTGTCAGCCTTTCCCAGTCATGCAAAGTTTAATACAAAAATGATAATGCCTAAATGATTACCTCTACCTTTTGCATGGGTTCTTCAGCCAATATGTCAGTTATGAACAGATTTTATGTGATAAATTCTTAACTTTTTTCTATCTATTTCTGTAAACTTGGTGCTCAGTAATTTATAGAATTGTAATAAAAGTGTGGATTTCTTTGTAAAATGGACAAATTAATAGGCGAAGTTGATATTTTAGAAGTAGGTAATGACTAATCTATGCAGGCACTTTAGAGTAGGATGACCAGTGTTAATTTTTAACACCGTTTAGGAGCCTTTTATGCTGATGGGCGACAAATATCTTGTCTGGGTGTGGCCAGGAAGTGTTACGTGTACCTGAAGAGTGTCGGGACAAAAAATAGCATATTATGCAGTTAAAATATATCCTTTCCTGGACTCCAAAGGGGCTCAGTACATGTGGGAATGAGTTCAACCTGCAGTATCTCTTTCTCTCTTTAATTTCCAATTAAATCTGCTTCCTCGCTAGGGAGCAAGTGTGTGGATTCCTGACCCCGATGCAGTTTGGGTGTCAGGCCTGCTCCTTCGGGACTACAGTCCTGGAGAGAAACATCTACTGCTACAGCTCTCTGATGGAACGGTGAGACATGCACTACCTTTATATTACCCAAAAATCAATGCTCAAGTATTGTCCTCCAGCTCCAGTGTCCCGCAACAAGAACTCTGAACTTCCTTCTCCTAGGAGGCCCAATACCCAGTGGTGTCCCCCTCTGATCTCCCACCGCTGGGGAACCCCGCCATCCTGGAGGGGGAAAATGATCTGACAGCTCTGAGCTTCCTCCATGAACCTGCAGTCTTGCACAACCTGCGGGTTCGATTCCTGGACTACAACAGCATCTACACGTACTGTGGTAAACACCGGACGGGGAAAAGCAGACAAACGAGGGAGATTCTAACCAAAAGAGAGACGACTGTCCAACTAAATGTGGGACAACATTAGTGATAGAAAGTCTTTTGGATTTGTGCTGGCAATGTGCCACTAACAGTCAGCTCCTGTGTGCTTCTGTCTGTATGATAACAGCTCATAATGTCGACTATCTTACAGGAGGTCAAAGGTTGAGACAGGGACGCAACTCCCTCACTGCCACCTGTTTAAGATGTGATTACGTATTTTCCAAAAGTCCCTCTGCCCCTTTACAAAAAATCACTTGGTTTTTTTGTTTACATTAAATTTGAGTAATTTTATCATGTTTTATCAATTAGTGTTTTTTTTTAAACCCTTAAATCTCTTTAAAATGAGAAAGGTTGTGTGTTTATATTCTCTTTAGTTAAGAGTGACAAAAATACATTTTGAATTGTATTTAGATTTGCTTTGTCAATGGTGAAGGTATTACACGTATAATTCCAAATGGTTTACTCCTCAAAGATTTTGTTTTTTTAAACAGATTCAAATGAAATGGCTATTACATAATATTTAATTTCTATGATCTTTTTAATGAAAGATAAGTCCAATGAATATCCACAGTCTCGTGCTGATGTGACTTTCTCTCCCGTCCCTCCAGGTATTGTGTTAGTCGCCTTCAATCCCTATGACCAGCTCCCCATATACGGAGAGGAGGTGATCGATGCTTATAGCGGTCAGGACATGGCCGACATGGAACCCCACATCTTCTCTGTGGCAGAGGAAGCCTACCGCACTATGACCAGGTCAGAGGTGAAATGCTATGACAACCAGTTGTGCACGTGAGATTTAACAAAACCTCTCATGGCTTACAGGAGGAATCTCACCACAGTAAACATTATAAACAATCACAAAAGTCTAAAATAACAAAAGTAAACAACATAAATCATGCAGAAACATAAGACAAATACAATTATGTAGGAGTGTGTATCATTTCAAACTGTATACAGTAAAACATACTTCAATTAGAATATTTCCTATACTTTCTTGCTTATGGTGTAGTGCAACAACACTGACTGTCTCCGCATAACTTCACTGTATGGGTTTTGATAGTATAACTGTGTGTATAGGGAGGAGAAAAACCAGTCTATCATCATCAGTGGAGAGTCTGGCTCGGGGAAAACGGTCTCAGCCAAATTCACCATGCGATACTTTGCTGTGGTTGGAGGAGCATCACAGCAGACCAGCGTGGAGGAGAGGGTTCTGGCTTCCAACCCAATTATGGAGGTGATGGATGGTTGAATAGTTGTATCACTTAGAAACAAGGTTTTTTCCATCAATGATGGTTTTCTTTTAAAGATACAGACAACATGTACTTTTGCCTACAGTCTATTGGGAATGCTAAAACCACTCGAAATGACAACAGTAGTCGTTTTGGGAAGTACATCGAGATCGGCTTTGGCAGAAAAGGGGACATCATTGGGGCAAACATGAGGACGTATCTACTGGAGAAGTCTAGGGTTGTCTTCCAAGTAAGCTCTTTAGCCAGAGGGATACTTTTGCACATAAGAATCCTTCATTTATTATGCACCTGTTCATGATTATTGTCTTTATGTTCCTGTGCATGTAAGGCGTCAGCAGAGAGGAACTACCACATCTTCTACCAGCTGTGTGCTTCCAGAGAGTTGCCTGAAATGAGAACCCTAAAACTGGGTGAGACTTAATCACAGGCGACCCCACCAGCTTGATCTCAAATATTACCATGTCCATTCCCTGTGTCCTTAACGTTTTGTGTATTATAGTGTAAATAATGTAAATAATGTTAATAGCAGTGTGACTGTGCTTTATGTTTTTCCTCCAGATGCACCTGAGCATTTCCGCTACACCAGCCAGGGAGAGATGCAGATTCCTGGTACTGATGACTTGTCGGACCTGGAGCGCACGCGCAATGCTTTCACCATCCTGGGTAAGATATTTGTATAGATAGATAGATAGATAGATAGATAGATATGTACTTTATTCATCCCCAGGGGGAAATCTGTATGTTACAGCAGCAAGACATACCAGAAGCAGAGTAACAGAGTAACCAATATATTAAGTATTAAAAAATGCACAATATATACAATAGAATAATAGAGTAGGACAAATTAAATATCAGAATATAGAATATAGAAGATAAAACAACAAAAATGCACAGTATATACAATGAAATAGAAACTAGGTGAAAAACAGTAGTGCAAAAATCAACCACCAGCAAACAACAGTGTAGCAGTGTGTAATTATGTGGAGGATGATCTGGCCAGAGGTGATTTGTTGTAAAGTGTTATTGCAGAGGGCAGGAATGTTCTCCTGTATCGGTCCTTGTGACAGCGGAGCTGGATCAGTCTGTTGGAGAAAGTGCTCCGCTGTCCCTGCAGGAGGTGGTGGAGAGGGTGGTCCGGGTTATCCAATATGGATAATAATTTCTTCAGTGTCCTCTCCACCACCTCTTCCAGATAGTCTTCACTATAGTATTCACACGAACACACACAGAGTGTAACAAAACCAACTGTTCAGGCTCTGGTAAGATGCTTATGTAATTGAATCATATCAGTTGATTATGAAGATAACACAAAATTGTTGGTGAATTTGTTGAAATTGCAGGTGTGCAGCCTGACCAGCAGATGGAGCTCTTCAGGATCCTGTCAGCTGTTCTACACCTGGGAAATGTCAACATCCAAGCCAGTGGGAGAAGTTCTGACCGGAGTTATATTGATGTAAGAAATGTGTTTATGTCTCCTCTCACCTGTTCCTTTTTTCTCTATGAGTGCATGAAACAGGTACATCTGAAGCCTTTATGTTTATTCTCCAGGCAGACGACCGACCTCTGGCTGTCTTCTCCAAGCTGTTAGGAGTAGAAGGACCTCAGATGGCCCACTGGTTGTGTCATCGTAGACTGGCTGTCGGGGGAGAGCTGCTGGTCAAACCCGTGTCTGGCCAACAGGCCGTAGAAGCCAGAGATGCACTGGCCAAACATATCTATGGCCAGCTGTTTACCTGGACTGTCCAGAGGCTCAACTCTGCTCTGCGTTCACAGAGGGGACAGGCCAAATCCTTCATAGGGGTACTAGACATCTACGGGTGAGTGATGAGCTTTGCTTTTGCCTACTGTAGTTCAGTTAATGTTGAAGTGTGTTTTTCTACAAAGTTGGACTGACGAGTCTTCTCTCACGGAGCAGGTTTGAGACCTTTGACCGGAACAGTTTTGAGCAGTTCTGCATTAATTATGCAAATGAAAAACTGCAACAGCAATTCAACAGGGTAAGTAAGTCATGTGACAGGAAGACATGTCTCTGTGTCTACTGCTGTGTGTTACTACAACCAGTTAATCAGTAGATTCTTCTTCTTAAACTCTTCAGGGAATCAGCCCAATCACCACTGCAGTCTGTCATCACAAATTCCAATTGACTTTCATTGAATGAAAACAAAAATACTTCAAATTGTACAGCAACAAATGTTATTTTGAATCATTTTTTCCGCTGTTAATGTCCGTCTTGTTTGTAGTTTTGCATAGTCTTTCTCTCCTACAATGTGGTGTAATTATTTGGGGGTAAAAAGATTTCCAAAATCACATTATATTGTTTTGATTTTAGGGAAGAAAGGTTTGTTTTCCTCATTGTTAAAACATGCGGTAGGAAGTGTTTCTCTGTCTTGACCTCTCTGTTGTGAGGGAAACCAGCACAGACTGTCCTCCCAGTGTGACAATCTGTTGTTTATGGCCTCACTGTGTCAATCTTTTCAAGCTGTTTCTTTTTGTTAAGGATAGGCAGGTCGTCTGCTTCCTTGAACTCTCTTTTCAGAGTCATTGCAGTGTTTTTTTATTTTCATTTTCACTCAATCTTTTCTATTTTTCTTTTGTGTTCTTCTGCAGCACGTGTTCCACCTGGAGCAGGAGGAGTACGTCCGGGAAGAACTGGCCTGGAGCAGGATTGAGTTCAGTGACAATCAGCAGTGCATCAATCTCTTAGAGGGACAACTGGGCCTGTTTGATCTTTTAGATGAGGAGTGTCGGGTCAGTCTCCCTCTCTCTCATCCCCCTTTTCTGTCTTATTATTTTCATCTGTCTTTTTGGATCAATCTTCACAAACGTAAAAAAATGTTTTTTTTAAGCACTGGATTTTTTAACTCGGTGGTTGTAGTGATAATCTCATTCAGTGTCTGTGTTTATCGTCAGATGCCCAAAGGTTCAGATGAGAGCTGGGTGCAGAAGCTGTATGATCAACACCTGACGAGCAAGAAACACCCTCACTTCCAGAAACCTCGCATGTCCAACAGCGCCTTCGTCGTTCTGCACTTCGCTGACACGGTGAGCGATGAGGGTCAACAAACACAAACAAAATGTTTCTGATATTATTATTATTACGTTTTCTCTTTTTTCATCAGGTGCAATATGAATGCGATGGCTTTTTAGGCAAGAATCGAGATACAGTCTTTGAGGAGCTCATTAACATCCTCAAAGCAAGTCAGGTAGGTATGTGTTACATATTGGGTTTCATTTAGTTTTTCTGTGTCTATGGGACCACTAACTTGTCTCTGTGTGCGTTCATGTGTGTGTCAGTCTGAGCTGGTGGCTGAATTGTTCCAGCAGCAGGGAAATGTTTCCTCTGTGGCTAATGGAAGTGTTCGTTCAGGGAAAAGAGCCGCCAGAGAGCATAAACTGACAGTGGGCTTCCAGGTGAGCTGTTATGACTTTCACTTCGCTTCATTTGTGGTGCAGCAATCTATCTGTAACACTGTGTCTTTGGTGCCTGTCAGTTCCGTCAGTCCTTACAGATGCTAATGGACACTCTGAACAACACCACTCCTCACTATGTCCGCTGTATTAAACCAAACGACCTCAAAGAAGCTTTCATGTATGTCTTTGTTTTGTCTTCACAAAATGAAATGTTCATGCATTTGATTTTGCATTTTCCCTGACGCCTGTGTGTGTGTGTGTGTGTGTGCACCGAGCAGCCTAACAGCCTTGCTTTGTTAGGTTTGACCCCAGGAGGACAGTCCAGCAGTTGAGAGCCTGTGGGGTGCTGGAGACGATTCGCATCAGTGCTGCAGGTTTTCCATCCAGGTACCGAGTACTCCACATTCTTCTGTCTCTCTGTAAAGTACGAGAGCTCAGATTTAAAGACATGAGAGAGACACACGGACCAGAGTTTGGTTTTCCTAAAGTGCCTTAATCTTGGAGGACTATATCAGAGTTTTGATAACTACAGCCATTTGTTGTTGATAGACCATTACCTGCTAATTATGTGTATAAAATATAAGGATTTTTTTCCTACCTTTTAGGCAGCATTTGTTTCAATTTGTGACCTTATGGTATAAAATGTACTTTAATGTCTTTAGGGATATAAAACATGTTTGAGATAGATCATTTATAACAATGCCAATTTAATTGTCTTTATCTATTTACTTAAGTCTTATCTATTTACAAACAATCTTTACAGAACTATCAAGCATTTTTCTCATTCTTTGTTTCCAGATGGACGTACGAGGAGTTCTTCTGCAGGTACCGTCTTCTGCTTCGAGGTCCCCAGGGTCAGGAGCAGGCCCAGGCCTCGTGCAGACAAGCCCTGCCTCAGCTCATCCCAGACCCAGACCAGTACTGCTTTGGAAAGACCAAAGTATTTTTCCGGGCCGGTCAGGTGGCTCTCCTGGAGAGGCTGAGAGCTGAGAGGCTGCGTGTGGCTGCAGTGATCATCCAGAGCCGGGTCAGAGGGTGGCTGGCACGGATGAGATACACCAGGACCTGCTGGGCAACGGTCACCATACAGAGATACTGCAGAGGAGCTCTGGCCAGACGGTGAGGAGGACAGAAAAAGATGTCTGTGTGTCCGTGTGCGAGAGAGAAATTAATATGTTGATGCAATACAATATTTATGTATTTCCTCTATATTACAGTTTATACTAACTGTGTCCTTTTATTTCTTGAAAGGAAAGTGATTTTTACAGAAACAGACCCGTTGGTGATGGAAATCTAATTTAATTGTCTGTATTTTTATGTATTTGTTAAAGATATTAGTAATTTATCCAATAATGAAGCCAGGTTTATGTTTTAAACTACTTCAGCTGAGCTACAATGATTTTTACAGTGCGCAATAATCTGTGATATTTTTCTATATTTTGTGCAAACTTCATCAATCTCCAACTCAAAGATTGCCAGACATAGCCTTGAACTTTTAATTGGATATTCTGCACTTAAATATCGTCTCTGTCATTTTGGCTGCAGACTGGCCCTGACGCTGCGCTACACCAAGGCTGCCTTAGTAATCCAGAAGTCTTACCGCATGATGGTGGTCAGACAGCTGTTCCTCATGATCCGACAGGCCACCGTCACCATCCAGGCCTTCACCAGGGGAACACTGGCCCGCAGCAGATACAGACTGGTCAGAATTCTATCATAACCTGCTTCAAAATGTTTTAAAATGTCAATTTTTTTTGACTTTGCTCTGTTTAGAAGATAAATTAATTGTGACATAAAAGTAAAGTTATAAGACTGAACTGATGAAAAATGTAAACCCTTTTTTGCCTCCTCAGTTGGTGGCAGAGCGGGCTGCTGTGTTGCTTCAGGCGAGAGTGCGTGGGTGGCTGGCGAGGCAGACGTACAGGCGAATACGTGCGGCGGTGGTGTTCATGCAGTGCTGCGCACGCCGCAGGGCTGCCAGGAGAGAGCTGATGAAACTAAAGACCGAGGCCCGCTCAGTGGAGAAGTACAGAGAGCTCAACAAGGGCATGGAAGTCAAACTGATGCAGCTGCAGTTGAGGGCAGACCAGGAGGTGGGTGAAGGGAGTTTGATCCTGTCATGTGGTCTTGGTATAAGCCCTAAGATGTGTGTTTCAAAAAGTTATTATCTATTCACACAATAGAGTTGTGTTTGTGTGTGTCCAGGCCAGGGGGGGTGCAGCTTTGAAAGAGACCCTGCATGCAGAGCGAGAGGCCACTAACACTGAGCTGGAGGCTTTGAGGGCGACGGTACAGAAATTAGAGAGCCAGAAACAGGAGAAGCCTCAGCCCTGCCCCGTCATCAGCGACAAGGAGGTGGAGGAAAGAAGGAGAGCTGAGGAGAAGGCTGCCCAGGAGATCCTTCAACTCACACAAGTAGGTCTACCGACCCAAGAATAACTTGACACATTTTACACTGTGCTATTATTAACCGTGTAGAATACCATTGCAAGCTTAGTTCATTTTGATATCCAGGAGTTTTAATTGTTTATTCTCATTCTCTCCTAATTTTTGAGGAGTTGCAAGCCCTGCAGAGAGAAAAGGACAGTTTGTGCAAAGACACAGAGGATCTCTCCGCTCGCTTGTTTGAACAAGAAAAAGCACAAGAAGGTAGGTTCTTCTCACTTTGCAGCATCACACGGCCTCATGGGCCTCATGGGTAAAACCTTGGTCTTCTTCATCTCAGTGTTTTTGTATTTTCCTTGTGTGTGTGCAGAGTGTGTGCACCAGGCTGTGTCTCAGGCGAGTGCAGCTCTGAGGGCGGAGCTGGATGAGGAGAGGAGAAAGTATCAGGGTCTCCTGAGAGAGTTCACCAGACTGGAGCAAAGATACGACAACCTCAGGGAGATGAGTCTGCTCACTGAGGTTCATAACTACACCCACAGGCACTCTTAAATACTTTTAGAAAAATACTATTTTTGGTCTGAAACTCCATCTTGGTTTTTTTCCACTCACTACAGCGCACCAAGGGCCACAGAAGGACGGACTCTACCCAGAGCTTGGAGCCTTCCTCCCCCACTCCGCTGTCACCCCAGTCTCTCACCCCACTCTCACTGTCACCCTTCTCATCTGCCTTCTCTTCCCCGGAGGAGGTCCGCAGGGTCAGCGTGACGTCTCCCTCCATTGAGAGGAGAGTCTCAGTGTGGGGCATCGAAACGCCAATGGTGAGGAAAGTCACAAAACCTCAGTTTTGGTGGCGAAGACATTTTTTGAGCATTGAACTTGCAACACAATCTCATCAGGTAATAAATATGTCTGTGTTCGTGTTTGCATTGACAGGACCAGTTGATGGAGAAGATGGACGTAGCCAAAGACCCGGCAGTGAAGATGAAAGGAGAGGACCTGGCACACGCTTACGACGCTGTACGAGTGGCCAACAAGTCAGTCGGTCACTAGTGTGTCAACTTGCTTCCCCTGCAAATCTATGCTGTGATTTATATTCAGTGGATGAACTCTGGGATGCTGTTGTTATGTCTCCCCTTGTCTGTGTCAGGTTTCTGGAGAGCCAGCTGCGTAGCCAGCACAGTCACAGGGAGGAGGAGCTGGAGGCTCTGAGGTGCCAGCTTAGTCACGCTATCTCTGGTTCTTCCCCTGCTGCACAGCAACAGGTATCGGTTTATGAAGGCAGTTATCTGTGGTGCATGAAGGATTCTGCGGAAAGACTATTTATAGATTGAAAGACATGGGTAGATGAGTCCTAATGGTCTTTGTTTCTGCACTGACATAAAAGCCCCTTCCTAAATGTGTCCTAGTCACTCACCTGTTCTCTCTGACATCATCACGCCACAGTCTATAAAGTAAGAGCCAGTGGATTCTGGCTGCTTGTAATCTTTATGAAATGTTGAAGCTTTTTCTACTGAAAGTCAGTTTGGTTTAGAGCATTGGCTGTAAGCCACGAATCCTAAATGTGAGTGTGTTTGTGTGTGAAGGAACTGCAGGCACTGCTAGAGGCCAGAGAACACGAGTGTGTCCGACTGAGGAGAGAGCTGAAGGAGCTTAAAAACACAGTCTCACTCAGACGGCTCCTGACACAAGGTGAGATCTCATCGGAAGAATTCCGAGCTTTTGGTTTGCTATGCACTTTCAGAATAAAGTGTTTGGTGGTTTTTCTTGACATCACAGTACATAGCTATATTTGGATCCTTAACGTATATTGCTCCCACAAATATTGATGTTAAAATGTACATGAAAGCCGATGAGTAAACACTTATCATTAGAGAAATATCATAATGGGATCAAACGTTCATATAAATAAAAAATGCCTTCCATCCACTGACTTTTTCCACTCAGCAGGTTATTTACGAACTTGAGTACAACATATTAAGGCAGGTTTATTTATATCGCATATTTCACCAACAATGTACTTCAAAGTGCTTTACATAAAACAAAAACCATTAGAAGCTTTGAGACAAAGTGCAAAGGAAATACATTATAAAAGGACATTCAAATACATTTAAAAACACTCATTAAATATCTAAGACAATAGAAAATAGAAACAGGCTAAAAAAGAATAGAGGTCTGGATGTTTCATAAGGTTGCAGAAGATCAGAAATGTATTTTGGCCTTAAACCATCCTGTGCTTTATAAACCAACAGTAGTCAATTTTTAAAGTATCAATTTTATAAAGTATAAACCTTCAAATTATTATATCTTCTCTTACATCGCTGTAGTTTTCAGCCAGTGCTGTTGTTTCAGTTGTTTGTTTTTGTGCTCTCATCAGTTTTCAACCCGGAGACGTCCTCCAGTCCATCCCGCACGAAGCCAGCAGCAGTCACTGGTTTGCTGGAATGTAGGAAGAGAGACGAAGCCAAGCTCATCAAGAACCTCATCACAGGTGAGACAGTAAACAAACACCATATTCAGGTCTTAGTGCATAGAAGCATTCAAACTTTTATATAGAAAACACACAAAAGTAATTTATATCATGGCTATAGATACTTACATACTTCGTTATTCAGTGGCATGGCACTATTAGCAGACATTAAAAAGCATCACAGCAGAAAGCACAAATACCAGCATTCCGCTAGATATTCTGTCCTCTAAACCTGCATACAGTTTCATGTTGACATTAAACTAGAATACAAGCCCTTTGACATTTGACCTGGTAAACAGCATATTTAAAAGGAAACTTCTGTAGGCCTATAACTCATCTCAACTTTATTTATATAGCACCTTTCATACAATCATGCAGGCCAAAGTTCTTCATAGAGCAACATTGGATATCATTTTTCAAGACTGGAGGCTAGAGGCTAGAACTAGGGAATGATTGATATTTTCTTTGTCAATTGATTAATCAACTGAAAGTTTCAACTCTAAACTAATTGTGTCGAAAAAGTGTCCATGCTTTTCTTGTGCACAATTGTGATTTACAAAATAGTGAGTTTGTGTGGATACGTGGGACTGCATCATAGTGACTCCTTAAACGTATGGTGCCATTTTCACTTGCTCATTGGAAACACCCACCAAACAAAGTATTTATATAAACAAAGTATGTTTTTTCTCTGGAATGACACGATCGTGTCTGACAACAGTTTTAAGGGGATTCTTTTAAATGCTTTAGAAACTCGTTGGTGGGATGTTGAGACCACACTTGTAGCGGTGCCTCTTAGGATGATGAGGATGACACACAAGAATAAACCTTTAACTTCAACTAACTTTTCTGTAGCTGACAAGTATGACCTGGCCGTGTTCACTCTGCCATTGCTGCTCTCTCTGTCTGTGGTCCAGACATCCGTGTTGACAGCGCCCTGTCTCTGCCTCCTGGCCTGCCTGCCAGCGTGCTCTTCCTGTGTGTTCGTCAGGCCGACTGCAGCGGAGACCGAGCGCACGCTCGCTCGCTCTGTAGCGCCGCTGTCACTGCTATGAAGGCAGCTCTGAAGGTAACCTGAGTTATGAGTCTCCTTGGTGCGACCATATGGTTGAGGTTTAATGTGTAAGGGCAGATCACATCATGTCGGGTAGCTTGTCACTTACACGGAAGCATCAACAACTGACTTTGAACCACTTTCATGTGATTGTTGCGGATTGTTTTGTCCAACAATTTGGCCCCTAAGGACAAAGTAAATGACAGCAAAGCCCAAACATACCTCTCACACACAAATATACATAATAGCACGGATATATTTTTTCATCTCCAAGTGACAATACAACCTTTACTCATCCCATCTGTTCCTGCAGAAACATAGTAACGATGTAGATATGACAGCTCTGTGGCTGAGAAACGCCTGTCTGCTGCACGACCTGTTGACCCAGCACTCCCCAAAACAGGTAGGACGCACATGTTTTATTATGATTTACATCTATATATCAAATCCAAAAACAGACTTCTAGACGTCCAGCACACACAGTCTCTGATGAACTCACAGTCTCTGACAAATAGAATTAATAGAACATAATGTTTGTAGTAGTTGGGAGTTCATCCATATCAATGCATTAAAGTGGATTGATTGCTTTTTAGACCCTTGACTCAGACGAAGTGGTTCCACTGACCGCTGATCTGAGTGACTTGATTCGCACCCTGAGTGACCTCTGTATCCAGGCCTATCAGCAGCTCCTTTTCATCACTGAAAAACATCTGCAAAACATCATAGGTACCACTATAACTAAGACAATACCGATGCTATTAATGCTCCATCCTCCACTACTCCTCTAATCTCACCTCATGCTCCCTCTCTCCCTCAGTCCCTGCTCTGTTGGAGAGTGAGACCATCCCAGGTCTGTCTGGCTTGGCAGGGAAGTCGGTAATGTCCAGAAAGCGAGCGGGTTCGGACCCCAGGACTGTGGGAGGCGATGCTCCGACTATGGCGGCGGTGCTGAGGAAGCTGGGAGCCCTTCACACCGCTTTGTCCCATCAGGATCTGTCCCCAACACTGATGGAGCAAGCCTTCAACCAGCTCATCTACCTCATCTCTGCCTCCGCTCTTAACAGCCTCCTGCTGAGGAAAGACATGTGCTGCTGGAGCCGTGGCATGCAAATACGGTAGAAATATACACAGAAATCAATTAACATATATGCAACATTTGTTTCTGCATTTTCACCTTGATTGGACAGTTGATAATGGAAACAAGTACTAATACTATACTGTTGTGTTAACTTTAAATGAGGTGCTTCCCAGAGTGATGAGAGTGAGGCAACAAAATGCACAAACACACACACATGGCATCTCTCTGAGTGAAAGAGCACTCTTCAATGACCTGCATACAGCCTCATGAAGAAGTACCAAAAAAACATAAAAAGTCAGAAAATGATCGTATTATAGTTTGTGATTAAATCCAAAAACATATCATAGTGTAATATGTCATTAAAAGTCATACAAAAGTGATAGTCTGTTATGACAAAATATGTCATAAAAGTATGTACTAAAAATGTCATTAAAATACGTCATAATATATAGCATGTCATAAAAATGTCATGATAATGTAAATACCAAAATGCTATAGTATAGTGTGTCTATTGGTTGAAAAAAGTTGTAAAAAAGTCGTAGTATAGCATGTTGAAAATATACATAAAACAGTCGAAAAACGTTATATAAAAGTCATAGTTTAGTATGTCGAAAAATGTCATGAAAAGTAAAATACAAATACGCAAACTGAGCCTCCGAAGGACGAGAATAAAGTATCATTGTCAACAGCAATACATAAAGATTTTTGTTGTAGCATTTCCAACTTTGTGAAAGCTCATAGTATAGTATGTTTAAAAAAGTCTTAGTATAGCATATAGAAAGTCATAGAATAGTATGTTGAAAATACACTGTACATAGTCAGATAATAGTATGTCGAAAAAAGTAATAAAAAAAGTAAACTTATATTATGTCGAAATAAGTTATAGTATAGCATGTCGAAAAAGTCATAAAAAAGTCATTGCATAGTAATTCAAAAACGTTATTAAAAAGTTATCGTATAATATTTTGAAAAAGTCATAACATAGTATGTCATAAGACAGTATTTCCTGTAAACTTTTTAAAATCCCAGTGTTCATTTCATACTGTCAAAGTCAGAATTGTATAATTGAGATTATTTCTTAATTAGCCTTTCTCACTATTTTCATTCAGCTACAATGTGAGTCTTTTGGAGGAGTGGCTGCGGAGCCGAGGTCTGCAGACAGGGGGTGCTGTGGCCACACTGGAGCACCTCATCCAGGCCGTTCAGCTGCTGCAAGCTGGGAAAAAGACAGAGTCGGATGCAAAGGCCCTTGTTCAGACCTGCACTGCCCTGTCCAGCCAACAGGTGGGTCTCTATCTGCATCCTGCTTGAAGAAAGAACAAATTGTTGTGCAGTTGAAGTGTATATAACTCTATGTTGGTATCTGTTTCGTTTGACAGATTGTAAAGATTCTGACCCTCTACACTCCCGGCAGTGACCTCGATGAAAGAGTCACACTGAATTTCATCCGTACTGTCCAGGTACTGTACCGCCTTACAGCTGCAAGGGCTTCCCGTGTACAAGAAGCGTGTCTAATGTGAGTGGTCTCTGTCTTTGCTCTTCTAGGGGCTTCTTAAAGGCCGTTCTGACGGTCAGCCTCCACAGCTCCTCATGGACGTGAGGCGAGTGTTTCCAGTCACATTTCCCTACTTGCCTCCCCCCGTCCTCCGTGCTGAGCAGTTAGTCATCCCAGACTCCCTCAAGATCTCCTTTGTCCGCAGAGCCTAGAACAGGATGCATTGTCTGTTCAGAGTGAATATATTACTGTGTTGTCAGATTTGATTCCCAGACCTAATGCGTTTAGTCATTTGAAATAACTTCCAGAAGGTGTTTAATGAAACTATCAACAATCAGTGGATTAGTCTGTGCACAGCAAAGGTCCAGCCATATCTCAGTACAGTTTGATGAACAAGAAATGAGATGAAAGTGTTTTTCTTTTCATATTTTATTGGAAGCAGAAACACAATGAGACTGCAGTCCCAGTCACCTCAACCCCCAATAAGAACAACCAGAATAAAAAAAACGCAAAAAATTAGAAACATCTCGTGTATAAAAAAATCCTCATGCGAGTACTTTGTACCACTACACATCATCAGTAATACATATTTATATATTCACAAACATTTGAAAAATAGAAAACAATAATGAAATATCAAAATAAAAGGAGACATCAATTGGCAATTAACATCAAATAATTCTGCGTGCTGGCACAACACATTTTTTCTTTTTGTTTTATTGTTCCCATCATGCACCTTTTCTGGAAGTACAGGACCGGCGTCGCTGTGCAGCGGTCTGTCTGTCTGTCTGTCTGTGTGGCCCGGTCAGCTAGACAGAACAGATCATGCACGTCTGTCTGCTCTTTGTCCGCGTGCTTTTCATTGTGCTTCTACATTTATCCTTGTCCTTCATTTCCGTGTGCATTCCCGTGCGCATTCCCGTGCGCATTCCAACACCCAAACACGCAAACTGAGCCTCTGGAGGAGGAGACTGAAGTATCATTGTCAACAGCAATAAATAAAGATTTTTTTCGTGGCATTTCCAGCTATGTGACAGTTGAGTACCTGTAATTAAAAGACTGTGCCGATGTTCCCTCGAATAGAAAAAATGTGTACACACTAGAGAAAGACAACATGTTTAGATGTAGTTAACTTAGGTGGGTAGTTTTCTGTGTCTTTATTCGGCTCTTAAACCCATAAAATGATCAGATTTCTACCAAGTCCTTGTTATTCTTCTCCAGTGTGTACAAGGCCGTCCTATATCGTTCAATAATAGCTACATATCCAGATTGGGCACCAATACACATAATCCCCAACTCAGTCACTCAGAGCAAATATTCAAGTCTACAAAAGAGCAGCAAACTTCAACTCACATAGGCTGACATGTGTTTGTTACATCCGAGCTATTTACAACGGCCAACAACAACAACAATAATCAATCTCTCCGTTTCAGATTAGTTTCCTCAGCATTGAAAAGCTGTACAAACAAATTTCAGTCTCTAATCAGCTCGACTACCGTTGTGATATTTGGCCCATTACAATAGAGACAGCATGTACAACATATCAGACAAACACTTGTGCTGATATAAGGATAATCCACAATGTAAACATTATAAGACTGCTTCGAAAACGACTCATCTACATAGGTTCGTATAGATTAGATGCATAGAGTTCAGTTCTTACACCTTGTTCAAAAGAGGGGGCCGGTTAAATTATTCATTTACGATCAAGTGCTTTTGGGGGGAACTTAAAAAAAAGGCAGGAATAGAAAAAAAACAAGCAAAATACCCTGTCGTCATTAAACTTGGACTGTTTTCCAAACATACATACTTCTTATAGATAAATAAACCAATCAAACTTTTTTAGTTTTTTAAAAGGGCATTCATAAAAATATAACTTTAATTAAGAGACATGCTGGACAGGCAATAATCAATTAAAAACATTTCGTTTCACATGAAATCAAGAAGTGAATTTAGCTGTAGAATGATTTGAAGCCTTGATGTGTAATACCTGCCATTCAACAAAACTATTACTGAAAAATAAAGTATAAATGTGTTATTGTGGGTGCGTTAAAGACCCTGTGCTCCCAGATGTTCACACTGCATCTCTACCAAGCTGTAGCCCCTCTTTTAAATGGCAGCAGAGGCCTGGCTTCTCGGTATCAGAGATCAAGGTTACAGCACCTGCAGCAGAATCGTGGGTGCTAGATCATTAAAGATCTGTGCTGTCCCACCTCAACACTTTTTCCTCAACGCATGTTGCTTTTGCAAAATAGGATCTCAGGTATTTATGATGTAATTACATGCAGGTTTTCATTTGGCAAATTGTTTTTTGTTTTTTTTTTAAGAAAAGGAAGTGGCAGTCAAGTTTTTTCTTCCTCTCCTATCATGCACCTCTCACACACCCAGTCGAGGGCTGTTGGGAATGTTTACAGTAACACGACATGACATATAGGACGCTTAATCCCCTGGAGTAAAAGACACTTTGAAAATCCTCCAAAATCTGAATATGAACACCCCCCTCCGCGTGATGTTCTTTGCTCACGATGGCTTTCTGTGATTACATTTGCAGGTAACAGGCAACACGGGCGGCTACATGAGGTCAACGTTAGAACAACTTACAAACACACTCGCACGTTATGAGCTCCACATGTGCTCGATACGCAGGTTATGCATTCACACCTGGACATTCTTCACACCCATACTGTATACTCTGATGAACCACAGTGCTTGAGGGCGTGTTTTCATCAGATTAATCTCTTTACAGTCGCTATATAGGAGACATACGCACGAGGGTAAACGAGACAGAAGGCATTAAGGGTGTCAGGCAGTGTGCTCTGTTACAGGGTAGATGGACAAAAAGACAGACGAGGACAATCTTTCAAAGACCACACGTCCATCGAATAATCCTGTATATATCTTTACATATATGTCTTTCATATATTATGATGTATAGAATTATTTAAATATAAATATAATTTGGAAGAGAGCAGTAAATAAATATTTAAATTATCTTAACTAAATAGTGGTTTCCCCCCCCCCCCCCGCCCAATATCTGGAATATTTGAGGCCTTGCAGCCGTTGTTGCTGTTGCTAATGGGTCAGTTGGACACTTGGTCCTGTTGTGCTTAGGGCTGGTCTTGGCATATTTCAGTGATTATCTGCTGGCACTTGCCATCCCTTCTCTGAGCAGGTGCAAGCTAGGGAAGGGACGAGAAGAAGCCAAAAATATTAAAGGCTACAAGATATTTCTCACCTCGACCAGTCAAATGAGGGGTGTGTGTGTGTGTGTGTATGAAATGGCATGACTCACCTCTACGGACCGAGGAAAGTAGATATATGCTTCATGATTAAACTCTATGTATTGTTCATCCAAAGGATGGCTAATTGTATTTGCAACAATAAAGAAGAAAATGAGTGATGATTTGTGTACTTTCGACTGAAATGAATGTATTTATAGCACTGGATGTGTGGTGACTGTTGACTTTTACAACACTGGATCAGCAGGGCAGTGGCTAGCGGTGGCTCAGGAGAGCTCCAGGGCAGTAGGTGACAGGCGTCTGATTGAGCTTCAGATGGGTCCTTTTTTTTTTTTTTTTTTTTTTTTTTTTTAATTCCGTGGTGTCTCTTAGCTGCGGCCCTCCTCTGCAGAGCGCTGGTCCGACTTGAGCTTGACGAACTCCTTGGCCACGTCGTCGTTGTTGCGTTGGGAGAGGATGCGCAGGACGGTGAGGCCCGTCTCGTCCATGTGGATGCGTTTGCCCAGCGGCAGCCAGCAGGCGACGCTGCCTTTGGAGGCCATGTCCTTCAGCTGCAGGACCGCCATGCCCACGGTGCGGTCCTCCCGTGCAAAGCAGTAGTCCTTCACACACACCTGTAGCTCGTAGCACTCAGGACCCACCTCGCTACTCAGGGTGCTGCAAGTGAAGAGAAGAGAATCAATTTGTTCAGACATTTTCTACAACCTTGAAACAAAACAACCAATCATAATCAGTGTTATTACTCACAAAGTGAAGGTTTCGTTGTATTTGGGAGCCCAACTGTTGTTCTTCGACTTGGTGGCGTACTTCCTTTTCTTATCGCTGAGATGAGGGCCGATGATATACACCTCCACAAAGGGCCGGAATATTCCTTGAGTCTGCCACCTCAGGTCATTGGCAGCCACAACTGAGACAGAGAGAGATGGAGGGAGAGGAAATGGGTGTGTGTGTGTGTGTGTGTGTGTGTGTGTGTGTGTGTGTGTGTGTGTGTGTGTGTGTGTGTGTGTGTGTGTGTGTGTGTGTGTGTGTGTGTGTGTGTGTG